GATTGGTGGGACCAATCAAAAACGTAGGACTAGTCCGAGAGTCTCGTTCAGGTGGCGCGTCGACGCACCAAAACACAGCTCCAGATTCTCACGCAGCTCCGCAAAGTTAGCCCTCTACTTTGACTTTCGACATTTTTCTTTTTACCAATCGATTGGTGGTCGTTTGGTGGTATTTGGTAGTCCATTCAAAACGTTTGGTAGTTTTCGGTTTACTTTCCAAATCCATAACAATTTTTTAGTATTAGGTTAACCCCCCACTTTGACTTTTGACATTTTTCTTTTTACCAATCGATTGGTGGTCGTTTGGTGGTATTTGGTCATTATTAACTAATCAGTTTAAGATCGTCGTTTAAATATAGCGTTAAGGCTCATTCAGACCGAAAGCAGAGGGAAGCGAGAAGCGAGTTGCAAGCAGCTTGAAACTGTACAATAGCAGTGGTACCTCTTTCCAACGTACATACGCACAGGCATATTGTGATTGGTCGTTATGTTAAATTGTAACAATGGAGACTACATGCATGTAACATACAACGAGGCTATACCACGGGCTATACACATTTCGTCTGATGCCGAATTCAAAATTTATTTCAAACATGAACTATGACGTGAAGTAGAGCTGCCATCATCTTTTGGCTATGTCGCTGCTACGGAAAGTAGAACGTTGATCAACTTTCCAAAATCGCAGTTCAAGCATTGGAATCTGTTTAGTAATGAAGTCACGTTTTGAGAAAAATTATATATTACTATTTTCAATGTAGTATACTTGACTCTATATACGTAATTAAGGTAAATAACTTATTTCTTAATGCTTTCATACGACTAGCTAACATAAAAAGGCAGAAAATGTATTTTCACAGCTAAGATTCCGCTGTTCGCTTCTCGCTTCCCGCTGCTTTCGGTTTGAATGAGCCCTTAGTTTCCACCGTGCAGAGTTTAAACAGAGTTAACCAATCACGTATAGGGGTTGAACGGAATTGACCAATAGGGCTGCTTGACTCTGTTTAAACTCTGTACGGTGGAAACTAAGCTATATGCATAGTTGTATGTACATACATATCGGGTTAGATCTTATCCTATTCAATGCAGGTAAAGAAAGATACGATGATATTCGTATATACTAAGGATATGTTCCAAAATTCACTGTCAGTACTACAAGTATCGTCGTGATCCCTATTTACCTATACGCAATAGAATGAGACACTACATGTTCGCAATACTGATAGTGAATTTCGGAACATACCTTAAAAACTCTGACACATCTCCTCATTGGAGGAGGCAGCCATAAGGAAAGGAAGGAAGGAAGGACCTTGAAAGCTATCTCATAGTACTTGTAGATAACAGATTTCGGATCTACTTACTGCGACAAATCTTAATTTTTCCTATATTGTCATAGGATATTGTAGTTTTCAATTAGTGCGTAACATCTAATAGCCATGACTTCAGTCTGCCCATAGCCACCGAGAAACAAAAACGAGGAAAGAAAACTCAGGTTGGTAAGGTAAATTTGGAACACCCTGTATATAGTAATAGGAACATATAGCGGTGTACGTTTATTCATGACATATCACTCGAGATTACGAATCGCAGTATTTGCGGACTAGATATCTATTATCGAAAACTGCACCAAGGTTTAAATTTGAACTATACTTGAGCAGTGTACCTTGTCAAAAATAAATATGAAAATATGCACTTCTTTTAACAGATGCTATATTGATTGTAGACGCTTTTGAGGTACGACAGAAAAAAAAAGTATAATGGCCGTTTTCTTCGACGCAGTTCAATGCCCAAATCGGTTTAACGGTGCTATTAGCCAATCAGCAGACACTTGTATTTGGAAGATAAACGCAGTTTATACATTGAACGTTTAAAGTCTGCACGGTGGAAACTAAGCCAATAATTCTGATTGGCTTCTAGTACAGAGACGTACGACAAACGTCTACGAACCATGTTCTGTTGTAGATGAAGCCTTAGGCCCATTTTCTTCAGCGCGGTTCAATCATTGACATATAGTACTGGACTGCTCACTGTAGTGCAGAAATTGTAATCGAGAATAGAAAGAGAGAGCACATCGTAGGAACCGTGCTGTCCTTATCTATAATTTTTCTATTGGTCGAAAGGTTTCTCGATGGAAGGGGTTCAGGACTGTAATATGCAAAATAAGAACCATGTGAAAGATTACTCCGCACATCTAGAATGTATGTAAATACGTTGTTACAGTCGAATCATGGAGACGAAAGCCTCCGTGAGTTAAATCTCAATTGTCGTGATTACTTTATTGTAGTTGAGTTTATCAAAATTCAATATTACTAAAAAAATGGGGATTCGCTGTGTTAAGTGTGGGCTACCGCGAGACCTGTATTCTGAGCCCAATACGATAAGCTTTCACAATTAAGTAAAATGGAAAAATAACCTTACATTTTATGATTAACATAAGATTAAATCAATTCTTAAACTTATAAAATATATAAATAAAGTTCATCATGAAACATACATTTTACTGCGCGGGGTTCCCTTATTCCTGATTCCGCTCCTGCCCAAGAGAAGGACAGCACGGTTCCTACGATGTGCTCTCTCTTTCTATTCTCGATTACAATTTCTGCACTACAGTGAGCAGTCCAGTACTATATGTCAATGATTGAACCGCGCTGAAGAAAATGGGCCTAAGGCTTCATCTACAACAGAACATGGTTCGTAGACGTTTGTCGTACGTCTCTGTACTAGAAGCCAATCAGAATTATTGGCTTAGTTTCCACCGTGCAGACTTTAAACAGAGTCAAGCAGCTCTATTGGTCAATTCCATTCAACCCCTATACGTGATTGGTTAACTCTGTTTAAACTCTGCACGGTGGAAACTAACGCTATGGTTTGACTATCGTTTGGTCTTAAACCGATTAGTTAATACTGACCAAATACCACCAAACGACCACCAATCGATTGGTAAAAAGAAAAATG